AGTGTAGTAAACAATGGTCAGAGGTTGTCAACAGCTTGACCAATACTTTATCCCACTACTAATATAACTACAACAGCTGACCACTGGATAATGTAAATGGATGGCAATTTATAAATGCACAGTCTGTACCCCAGGGTCATCTGTATTACTACCATGGACATGCAAACAGCTGGGGAAATAAAACACCACATACCCTCTGATTATTTAGAGATAATTATTCCAGCAGATTGGGTAAAAGATTATTTTTGGCATTTTGCCTGTCCTTGTCTATAAGTCAGACATAAAATGCTGTTTATATGTTTGGTTATTAAAACATTTAATAACAGGATTTAAGAATGATTAAAAAAATAAAAATTATGGTATGGCGAAAACTGCATGTGATTAAATGGTAAAACTGATATGATTAAAATTTCAAAATAGTCTTGTGATCGAATGATATTCATGTTGGTGCATGATTTTACTCCATGGTTATTAACAATGTTTATCTGATTGCTCAAGAACAACATAAGTATCATATAACTACACATTTGTAATGGTTATCCTTGACAACCAGATCTACATAATTTATCATATCTGTGCTTAATACATACTGTTTTACATGACAAGGTTTTAATTTTAACTATTTGTTCAACACTAACAGGGTAGCAGACCTACAGAACAATATTTGTCAAAATATATTTTTAAAAAACTGTTCCAAAATGATTAATCTCTGTTAAAAATGAAATATTTTGGCAGTGAATTTTATTAATGATATTGAAATTTGTCAGAAATTAAATATGATGTCCCACTCGTCTAAGATAATAAATGCAGGCATAGTAGCATCGGTTAGTTTGATAATAGCATCATTCACAACTTCACAGTTGGTTGCTGGTCTAAACAACAATTGTCCCAACTTTATGACTAAGATCACAGACATGCATGTATTTGATTTTCATGTGTGAACCCCCCCTCCATAAACCTGGTTATTGTATTCCATAGAATTGAGTCCAGTGGACTGGTGTACATGTATATATATATTCATTATTTCCACAGAGTTTTCTGTGGTTCTTATCAACACCCACTGTGGTAAATTTTCATGTTTTTACATGTTGACTTAAGAACAAGTGGTACATGTATATTCTTTCATTATTTACTTTATAGTATGTAATCTGATATGTGAACCACTTGTAAACAGATCCACTAGTATGTAAAAAGTAGACCATAGTTTGGACTTTGGTTAAATACTCTCTGTTTACTTTGAACATTAGTATCTTGTTTATCTCTTATGTTGGTACATGTACATGTGTAGTGCGACTTAGATAGGGACATTGTGAATAGCTCTAAGAATGGAATGGTTTTACAGGCACCAAAACCACTATATCTTCAGATTCTCACTCCAAGAGATTAGAAAAACAGGCCACCTAACACAGTTTCAGTGATTTATATTAACCCTTGAACTCTCATGACCTAGCTTGACCCTTTTATATTAGATTTATTTACAGAGCACAGTATTTGGTTTTGCTGCTGTTTCTGATATCCTCAAAAACATAAGATTGGGTGGACAATCCATAATTTATTAGACTTACATGTGGCTATTGTTTGTTCTAATCTAGGTAAATAAAGCTGTGGATTTTGTAGTATACAAACAAAGCTAAATTCTCCATTATCATAAACCTTATACATGTAAGGTCCCTGCTATAATTAACTAGGTGAATTTAAACTTGTAGAACCTACATCTGATAATGAAGTCAACCTGAATAATTGAATGATGACCTAAAGAGAATTGATAGAGTATTAACTTGTTATAAATTGTTTTACTCATGGATGTACCATAAATGTATGGTTGTTATTCATTATTGATCATTGCTTGATAAAGATACCTGTAACCGTATTGAAATGTTGCATGTAATAAACCAAGAAGTAGTAAATTCATAAAGTTGTGTTATTATGAATAACTTATTTGATAGGACTGACTATAAGTTATATATATAGCAGGTTTTGTTTGTCCTTAAAAATGTTTATAGGTGTCTGACTTTTAAACTACCATACAATCTAATCTAATGTCTGTAACAATTTACTCTTGTATATTTTAATGTACATTATGCCACTTTGTATTATGGGGATCTATTCAATTTGTCTTTTGGGTTTTGTATTTTGACTGCTGGTTAGAATCGATTTTGCTTGTGGGTGTTGTATAAGTTGGGAGCACAATTTTTTAAAATGTTTTTAAATTGGGATATTTGTTAATTTAAGCCAGTTATTGGGCATGGCTAATAATGACCCAATGGTCTTGCCACTTAATACTTGTATGACACCGAAGCTTAACTTTTAGCGTAGCAAAAACATGAAAGTGTGCTTTTTAAATAGTTCTTTTAGTAAACATTTTTGTAAGCATATTTTCAACAGGGTGTAACTCAGAAGTAGAATGACCACATGTGAAACATTTAAGTATACAGAAGAATTATCAACTTATTTCTTTACAGGAATACATAAAGGTACACCCATGTGTGCTATTACACTAGACTACAACAAAAATACATGTATACAATATACATCATTCTTATAAGGTTTAATTCAATAATGTCCACATTGTATCCTCTGTTTAGACTACCAAATACTTGACATTTTACAAACGATGGATCTGCTCAACCATAACTGCATATGTGTAATACAGTTTAATATATTTATCTTTTGAGAATTACTTTATCTATTTTCATCCTCATTAAGTTTGAGAAAGCATTATTGTCAACATTTTATATTCATCATAAAAGGTTTGGGCAGCTCCTTAAACTCAGGACAGGAACGTTACCCAGAATGGTACATATAGATGCTATTGAAATGCATTAAAAGGGTAGAATGTTATAATTAATGTCTATGTTGTATATATTATATTATAATATTGTAATTATGGTAATGTTTATTGTAATGAAACATTGATAAACCTACACATATCATTAACCGGTCGTTGTTGTACATGTATATTTAACCAAACTATTGTAGGCGTCATTTTAACAAATTCGCAGACAATAGAATAAAAAAATCCTCACAGTATGGAATGAATTTATATGTCCACTGTGGAAGTTGAACGGGAAAAATGTTACTCTTAATAAACTAAAATAGACATGCCAAGCGTTTAAGAAATTTTGATAGGGGGGAAACTTACAATGATTACCATATGTTATTTATAGACATGTAAGTATACATATAGTAGACTACCGGGGGTCAATGAACACTGACAGTATACTTTTATGTTTTTTGAATATATCATTATAGGATGAAACAGATTTAGGACAGAATATACTTAAAACACATTTAAAAGAAGGGGTTATTTGTAACCACAGTAGGGTTAATTTACGAGGTCATTTTTTTTTTGTAAACACTGATTACAAATAATGCTGTACATATTAGAAATAACAATCACTTTTCTTCAGATAAGACAGATGGGCGTGGTAACTTGTAAATTATGTTTAAAATAGGGGAATACTCTTGCTACCAATTTCCTATGAAATATCTTAGAAAGGAAGACAGTCTTACTTAAACATAAACAGGATAGGCCTACACATATATGTACATCTATACAGACTATTAGGAAATTCAGATGTTATCATTCATTAGGTGCAGTTTTTGACCCTTGGCCTTGTAAACTGATTTATTCACACAATGTGCAGAAGTGAAAAGCATCTTTATATCGTTTGTTCAAGTTTATAACATAACAAAATGTTGTACCAAGTACTGACACAGTTATGTCAAATTTAATCGTCCTGTGAGAAGGTGACAATCTTTTGTTGAATAGGACAGAACAACTTTTGCGATTAAGTACATGAACCTCACGATTTCTCATTCAATTTGTATTGACATAAGAGGCGATGCAGGTTGATCATATAAAGATGTATGTTAACAAATGTAGGTTTTACATATACATATGTATACACATATTTCAATTTGAAAAGATTTTGGAATTCAGTTACACTTTCAAAATTGTCATACATGTATCTACTACTTAGCATTCAACTTGATTGAAGAAAGTTATGAATAGAATATTTCCTCCAATTTTGAGAAAGATTTATGAAAATTCAAAGCTGAACACCACTATGCTATTTTCAGATTCATATTGTATGGAATAAAGTATTTTCAGTTCTGTGGTACATGTAGTTTCTGCTAATTTTGGAATGTGTACCTTTTTTGCAAACAATTCATTATATACACCTACATATCCAAAACCAAACAAATTTCTGTGAAGGGTGTTATCTTTGATTAATACTGTTTAAACATATGTCCATATACTTATATAATGCTGAAAGAAAAACAGTAAATTGAATTGTTCCTTTAAAAAACAAAAAAACAATAATTTTGATTTAAGAAAACACCACAAGACGTATTTCTCAGTTTGAAAAATTCTTAACATCACTTAATTGAGTCTACAGATGTGTTAATATATCATATTACTTGAAACAAGTGTGAGAAAATACAGTATACTGTCACATGTATAGTCATATCTTATCATAATCTATCTATCTATCTACATAATATTTACTACTTGTTGATTTCATTCTTATCTATTTCACATGGTCATATTATTTAAAACAGAATCATAAAAATGACCACAATAAATATTATAGAGAAATAAAACATTGAATTGATACTTGTTGAATCTTGGATAAATAAGTTGTTTAATTTCTAGAATTATTTGCCCTTTCAGTGGTGTCTTTGTTTATCTATTTCCTTAACAAGATTATGTATTCAATTTTAGTCCTTTGGGGGGACTAACCGTGAAAACAGACTTAATACATATTTGGTTTAAGTGTAAACCTTAATACCATATTTGGTTTAAGTGTAAACCTTAATCCCATCTAACAGTGTTTATATTAAGGATTATTTAAATTGAATGGGGGAATTAAATAAAAAAAATGAAAAGGTTTTTATAAACATGAAATAACAATACTGGTACTAGAGAAAAGTAGATGGCTTTTTAAATATTGAATGTTTTTCTTATAAGAATTTTTGCATTTCTTTCACTTCAGGAACCCGATGCTTATATGGACAATGATTGGTTTAACAGTTTATTTGATGATCCTGTTTTGAATGACCGTATGATTACTGATGCTGCACAACCTCCTTGCATCAAATCAGAACATAGCTACTCAATAAATGATAATTCTAATGATGATTTAAATGTTAGCGATGGTAAGAAATTCTTAATTTATGGCTTGTCTTCATTAGCCCAGTACATGTAGGTGCAGAAAAATAGTATGTTAAACCCAATATCATTCATTCAGTAATTTATGGCAAAGCAGGAATACATGTCCTCAGTAAAGAGTGTATTACATTAGCATACTAGATATATACCGAAATTTGTCAAATAAAATAAAATTAAACTTTTAAATTAAATATAAATCTTTCTTAATAACTATATTGATACCTACTGTACCATTACCAAGTTATATGATTTAATATTTTCAGATATTGGAACAGATATTTTTGGTACATGTTCATCAAATGCAAACGATATATCATTCAAACACGAAAATGAAAGCATCACATTCAAAACGGAACCCGTTCAGGAAAAAGACCCATTACTTGTACCAGTTTCCATGGCTGCCGTAACATGTCAACCAACCATAATATTGGCACCCCAATCTCAGCAGACGTTAGTTGATACCACTCCTGATTATTCACAAATCTGTATAAAACAAGAACCAGTAGATGTGAGTGAGGATTCTATAGACATGAGTCCATCAGGTAACATTCCACCATATTATAATTCATATATACAACAGCATAGCCATCTTGGCCTACACAATAACTGGCTTGGCCTAAAAATTCTATGAATTAGACCCAAGTCAATAAAATGACAATTTTCTGGAATATGAAAAGCAGTGTTTCGGTTTAGATAAAATCAAAAGTATTAATGCCTATAGAACAATTTTTATTGTCAAATGTTTTTTAGTACATGTACATGCTATGCAAGCCTACTAGATGTTAATAATGGTTGTGCATTGTGAACCATAACATAATAGACATCTTGGACATCCTCGGGGCACTTATCTTGGCATTGATCATTGTCTGGTGTGAACATGCCTTCAGTCAGTACACCCATACTTCATTATATCAGTCAATCAAAACCATTGGAGCATGTCCATGAAGAGTGGAGCATTGTTTTATGTTTATTTGTCTACAATAACATTGTTAAACTCATCTCTAAAACCAGTACCCCACCCTTGTCTTGGATGTTTTCTTCAAGGGACAATAAAAGCCATGATTTATGGGTAATGAAGTGAAAGTCAATAAAATACATTTCTTTACAAATAAATCAATAAAAAATATATACATGTTTATACTTGACACAATGATTTATATATTATCTATTTAATTAATAGACAGGGTAGAATATAAACTTCCCAACATTATGCAACAGTATATCCAACAAACATAAATGTGAAAGTAAGGGGCCTAGCCCTTTATCATAAAAGCACCACAATAAACTGAATGCTGACATGGATACATAACTGTCAGCTACATGTACTTTAACCTGTCACCCTCACAAATAAGACCTCTGTCAGTGGTATCAGGTGTTCTAAAAAGAGTAAGCATATCTTGTCTTGTGCACTAGACTGTCACATCATGTACACGTAGCTATCATACTGATACCAGGCAAGTTTAAGAAGGTGTGATGCCCAACTTAATTTAGAAGCGGAGTAGCATTAGAAAGGATGCGTAGGCCAATATTGTGTGGGCATATTTCACTTTTTTATGACATCTTCTGTTCCAAATTCTTGTCAAATTGTTATCAAAACTGATGATTTAAAGAGTTTTAAGCCATACAGCTGTACATTTGTTATTTCAGACACCATAAGTGGCCATTTTAATGTCAGTTATAGTCAGTTTTTGTGGAAATGAATCCTTTCAATATCAGTGACAGTGATGACAAATAAAGACAGCATTTATTTTTACTACTTCAGTTTAAAATTTATGGTGCAGACCATTACATAAAATGTCAAGAATAGGGTTTTAAGGGGATTTGAATTGAAGGGTTTTGATATGACCACTTAATTGTTAGCTGCATAGCTTGAGGGCTTTTTGTTTGTTAGACATTTATCCTTCAAGCAGACACGCTTAGTTGCCATAAAGAAAGTGCAGAGATAATGTTCTAGGATAATGAAATTTTTATGGTTTTATTATTAAAGGGTGTGAAAATTTGGTTGAGATTTTATTAGGTTTAGATAAGTTTTAACTGTCATCTCATCTTGCCCAAATTTATACAATTACATGCACCATTGTTCTCCATGTAAATAAAATCATAAAAATTGCATTGTATGTTAATTTATTTTATTGTTATACAGTGGACTTAAATGTATTTTATTTTATTTTCAGCTATCAGTTACGACCCTGTAAATCTGCCTCCAACCCCCCCTAGTAGTGCTAGCAGTGATAGTGAAGGCAGCCTGAGTCCACAAAGATCAGCACCTTCCAGTCCCATACGACAAACACCAAATCGACATCATCATCAGACAATCACCACCTCTGAATCCAAAACTTTCACCCAACCTTTATTTCTTAATCCGGTAAGATGATAAAATATATACCCTACTTGGTGAAGGTAAAAAAAAAAACATGGCATGAAGTTCATTTTATAAAACGTCTTAATAATATTAATATCTTTGGCAAGAAACTTGTTTTTAAAATTAGAAATAGCATGAGATACATAAATAAAGTTGATGAATGCATGAAAGTACATGTATAACTTAATACAGTTTCTTAAGAAACGGTAGTTGACCTTGATACAGTATAAAATGCTATGTATACTCAAAGAACAATACCCTTGCTGTACTTTATGAACTGCCCATTCCTTCAGGCATTTGACTTTGTAATAAAAAGATACTTAATTGTCTGGTCCTCACTGCATCACTCTATAATATTATGACATTGTTGTGGTGTTTTGTGTTTGTGAAGTTTCTTTGACTTTATGTGATTGATATCTTTTGACCCCAGGCTTATGTTTTATATTTGCTATCACAAATTTGAATGAGAGGTTTGGTGAGATAGGTTGAGAATAATCTCCCTTGCCTCTGGGGCATAGTGACATGTGAGATATTGACTCATTAAAAACATGTTGATCTGTCAGTCAAATCAAAACCATACATGTCATTAAACTAATATTTCTTCTAAATTAATGGCATGAAGTTGCAACAGACATACACTACTAATTAGTATGATAGTTTACATTACAATTTTCATCTGTGCGCACTTTATCATAAGGTCTGTCATTGAGTCAACTAGCGGGGTTTCGATTCCCTGGTTGTATGTGACGAGTAGGGTCGCCTGTCCAACCTCATGGGTTTTCTCTGGGTCCTCCAGTTTCCTCCCACTGCTAAAGACCCCTACGCGCAAGTGAATGATTGAAATAAAAATTGAATCATGTGTTAGTCCCGAAATGACCTATTTTGTGTTGAGTGGATGTTAATCCCCATTTCTCTCTCTCTCAATTTTCATCTGCATAAATTATGTTAATAACCTTTTTACCTTGGAATTTATTTTAGCATCTTACCCTATTACAGATCCCACAATCTGGAGTGCTATTACTCTCTGAAGAAGAAAAGAGAACATTAATATCTGAGGGTTACCCCATCCCAGGAAAATTGCCACTTACAAAACAAGAGGAAAAGAATCTGAAAAAAATCCGTCGAAAAATAAAAAACAAGGTAAATTCCTTCAACTCTTTTTTATTTGCTAACAGATATAATTAGTATTGGTATGGTTAAATTTGTGTAAGAAATAATTATATTAATAAGTTCATACATAAAAAAATATTCTGATGGCCAGATACTGTCTCATCACTTAAAAAGGACTGTGTAAACTTATTTCAAAAAATAAACTCATAATCTTGCATTCATCTTTCCTTTGTTAAAGACTGAAAGCTCTATTAATTGTTTCCAACTGAATTCTGAAATGTCCATTTGGCTCAGTTATCCCTGAAAAATGTTATTTACAGTCATAAATGGCACTAGTCATTCGCAAATTGGCAACCTTGATATCAGGAAATGGTGACAATCGATTTGCCTTTATAAATTTTGAAGATCTTTAAATCCATTCTTCCGTTGATGACAATTATCCGATATCAACGAGAAAGAAATGGCAGAAATTATGCTCCAAGGAGATGCACAGACTAAGAGTAGCATTAACATAAAAAGTACAAAATCAGAATTGAATGAGATGATAATAAGTTATTGTTTGGAATTAAATTTGTATTCAGCTTAGTGTAAAGTTTAGATATGTAACACAGGAATTAGTATGTATGTAAATGAATTCCTGTAAAAAAAAAAAAAATAGCTAAGATAAATGTAGAACTTTGAAATGTGATGTTGTCATAAGTCACTGCCACACGAACTAAATAATTATAAACACAAAAATAAAAACCTCCAAAAATATGAATCAGATTTTTTCATGGTTTCTTTGAGAACCAGAATATTTGTTTGTGTGGCCAACAGATGTAAATTCTGGAGTCAAATTGTGAAGAGAGTTCATGTCACTGAGTTATCTAACAAAGGGATATAACTCCAATTTAAATCTTAAGCATGTAATCTTCAATTTGTATTTTATTTTAGATTTCAGCTCAAGAAAGTAGAAGAAAAAAGAAAGAATATTTAGAAACTTTAGAAAAAAGGTAGAAAATTATCTGTTCACAATTTCATTTTATACAAGATGAATCATGCTTTCTTTCTATGGACATAGTTTTCACACTATAATTTATATTCATATTGATTGTCTTTTGGATTTTTTTTTTTTAGAGTGGAAGCTTATAACCAAGAAAACACAGAATTAAAACGAAAGATGGATTCTTTAGAAAATAATAACAGATCGTTATTAAGTCAATTACACAAACTACAGGCCTTAGTTGGCAAAACCTCCGCAACACAAACTGGAACAGTGCTAATGGTAGGTCTTATGATTCTACCATTTCTAATTCTCACAAAACTTTCGGTTCACGGTCTGCACCTATATCATTTAATGCACTTCACAATTTATTTGGTTACTTCATATCATTGGTGGGCGTTATTCTATTTCTTAAACCGCTAATCATTTTTATGGCTAACATCAAATTATTCTGTTTAAAATAATGTCTCTCACAAAATCACTATTCTTTATAAAAAATTATTCAAAATGAAAAACATGTTCACATTTCAATGAAGAATGCTGAAATAAACTGAAATTATAATAGTTATTTATTATATTTCATTTTGAATTTTTTTGAAACCTAATATTTTTTCATTGACAAAATTTCATGGTGACAGAGCTATCCATATCCTAGGAACTGCAGCTTATGAAACAATCCCTACAGCCATATATACATTTATCATACTTAACAAAATTATCATCATCATAAATATATTATATACTAGGTGCATGTCTATATTCCGATTCTTATATGACAATCCATATACTCATTTTATAATTTAATAAATATCAATTTGATCTATTTATATGTTATAAAATTCTAATCTTTAAGCTAATAAATTAAGCTTACCTGTAGTTCTAATGCAAACAAAATCTATTAGATCCAGATGAATTAATTTTTATAAACCTTACAACATATTTATATTCTTGCGTGCTTTTAATTGGATATGGAAATTGGAAAAGAAATAGGATTTTTTTCTAAATTTTATTTTAGGACTATTTGCATATAGATTTTTAATTTATAAAATGAGTATGATACAAAACAGTCTCTTTTTTTTTGTTTGATAAGTTAATTATCTCTACTTTATATGCTTTTTCCCTTTCCATTAAATTATCTACTTTGGATTGTCATATTATAAGCATCTGAACAATATCTTTTTAAAGAAGTCTATAAACAAAACAGAGCTAATTGACATTTAAATTTAAATAAGTTAAATTTGAAATATAAGTATAAAATGTTTAGTTACATTAGACAAAAATGGCAGAAATTTTCTTCGTATGCTGCAGGTCCTTGTATTGTGTTTTGCCGTCTTCCTTGGCGGTTGGTCATCTACATCATTGAATGTGGGTTACTCTTTGGGTCCGCACGTTCCTTCCTTCTTGGCCAAACCAAGTGTTGTGGTACCATCACCAGCCATGAAACCATCTATAGCTAGGGCTCAAGTAGATGATTATTCTACGCCGAACTGTAAGTGTGGAGCACATGGTATATCAACTTGTGATCATCGCTTAGTTTTCACATATTTTAAACCCGAAGAAGACTGTTATTCGTTGACTCGTGCAACAAAATCTATTTCGAATTATTTATAAATTAGGAGAAAAAATGGAGAATTGTACATGTACAGTTCAAAGTTCAAGCATATAGTCTGATCACTGTTACATGCATTACTTGAAGATATAGATCTACTGTCTTCATTAATTGCATAGTGATGCTTATAGAATTTATTAATCAACTTTATCTGCCATTAAACTATTTCTAAAACGATAAATCTTATGTTGGTCTTAGAGAATCTATTACAAGATTCTCCTATCTTCAGGTTTAAAATCTGTATACTTATAATGATGGTCACTGGTTTTTAATGTAGATTAGTTATTTGTTGTCTAACAAACTATAATATACTTAGATCATATTATAAACTAAAATTGGTATTTTTTTAAAAATAAAAGCCTTTAAATTTGATAAATGTTTTAGTATCGATTAGATTTTTGTTTTATCCTGTTCACACGTCACAATTGCACATAGAGTTTAAATGAATTATGTGATCAGTATTTCTGACAATTTATAAATGTATAGGTTAATAATTTTATTTCTTTTCTATTTTTATCATAGTGAAATCCAGAGTATTAATGTCGTTAAAAGATGAAAATGAAGATGGGGTAGAGGACTCGATTCCGTCGGTATTATGGGAACGACAGATTTGGTGTGCAGCAAACGAAGATATAAGTAAATTAGCTGATCGCGAAGTCCGACCGGAATCTGATAAAGACTTTCAGGTCCAAGAACTAAGAGATGGTGCTAATCTAGGACCTTCTGCCCCAAATGTGGTTACTATGACTAAAGAAGTTGAGATTGGCAAAAAGAATGAAACAGCCACCTATAACCAGGATTACCAAGCGACGATGCATCCCGATATCGCAGTAGCACCAGGTGATATCCTCTCAGTTAAAGCTGGTGGGAATCTTACTGTTGATATTGAAACAGCCTAGAGAAAGATAGACAGCCATAGCTGTGCATTTACCCATGCATTTGTTACATTGTCTCATTGGTGGTGGTTACATAATTTATCATTATCCAGTCTCTTTAACTTTCATTTATATATTTAGAGGACCAATCATTATCAAGCTTGCATATTTGCTCACTTTGCATGATAAATGAAATAAACAAAAATTGGATTCATATTTTAATTGATAATGTTATCAGTTCATATTTTCCTATCTCTCTTGTCAATGGTAGCCAATTAATACATAGCTAATACTCATTGTGATAACTGTAAATTATATAAAATAAATTATAGATTGTATTCATATTAACATAACTACGTATATTATACCATTGCAAAAGGAACAAACCATACATATAATAATATATTTATAATGATATAGAAGCATTAAAATGATTATTTCATTAAGGCCATAAATTTATCTAAATTATTTTTTTTTGTCTTTAAATACTGAAGACATTTTTTTTCTCGTTTTTTTATCATATCATTTTATCATGAACCTCTTTAAGTTACACTAAACTCCCATATTGTTCTTGTTGTTGATTATTTTAAAGGGAGATAACCAACCAATGTGCTAATGTTCAGACTTTAACTCCACGTCAAAATATTCACGTCTGATAGGTTGACTGAAGTGGTTTTAATTTTGTTGTTTTTGTATATATTCTTAGTATTCTCCCTAGGTGGGAAAAAGGGGAAATATTTTTATTATGAGGTCAATTTATGATTTTTGTTTAAGAAAATATTTTATTTTTCTTGCATGACAAGCAGCAATCTAAACATGTAATATATATCCTATTATTTGTTTGGGTGAAAGCTTTTTAAAGTGACACACACTACTTAGTTTTAAACCTCTTCATAAAATATCTTTAAATCTACATAAAACCGAGAGCTTTAAATGATTTATCTTATTGTTAGTGTTAATGATCAAGATACCTTTAGGTGTGTTACTAAGATACATAGGTATCATTTTAATTTCAGAGGATATAATAATATATTATGATAGATATCTATTGTTTTTTTTCTGATCAGGGCATTGTCTTACTTGTAGATGTAAAAGACACAGCATTAATTCTTAAATTGATAGTAAATGTATTTATTTTATTTCATAGCAAGACACCTGACGACATCTTATATTTAGTAAGATAGGAAATATTTTTTATAAAATAGATTGTGTTCACTTTATTAGCGATCACCCTATCACTAGTCACTATAAAGTATAATAATATAATTATTATCAATTATTATAATTGTACATACATTAATATATATTATATTATATATTGTATAAGGCATCAGCCAGATATGGCGAAAGAATTGTATTATATATTTTTGCTTGTTGATCGTCTCTTTACTCTGGTTGTGGGTTCACTATGGCCTTAATGGGAATACAGAAATGGTGATCTACAAGACTGTTGATTCTTGAATGCAAAAGTGTCTGAGGTATAAAATCTTTATTGTATACCCAGACTAATGTACAAAGTATTTGCAGCTACGAAAAATAAACTTATATTATATAAAGATTTGATTTCAAGACTGTTTCATTTGTACGTCAACATGTATAATTGAATTGAAGCTTTAGATGGTTAAAATGCATTTAATATAGGTTATGGGTTCTGGCTGCGGACTCCGGAGAATGGGTTGGGCTTTGGTGTCCGATTAAACAACTGTACCTTATGTTGCATCAGTATAGCTATAGATAAATCTTGGCTTGAACAGACTGTCTTTTATCTGGTTTAATCCATCAGGTAATAAGGATTAAGTGGAGATTAAATTAAGTGATAATGAATTAAAGGATTGATTCTTGTTATGGCTGACCTGCAATAGACCTATAGTTGAAAAGGGTGGGTTAAATTTCTCTTAACGAAATAAAATGAAATGGGGTTTAAAGTCCTACTGTTCTGCTCCGACTGAGCTAATGAAGCCATATATTGTGCTATGAGGGAATTTTGCCCGGACAGCGGCACTACAGACAGCCTACTCTTATATCGAGTTCCATATGCCAAGGCATCTTTTGCGTGCACGCCAATGTGTACATGGGGCCTCATTTTTTTGTCCCATCTGAACGACAATACGTTACATGTGCCTGGCCCTTTATTCTGTACCACTGACAAGGTGGAACCACGTCGGAAAATCCTGATGAACTTTCTTGGCCAATGCAGGGATCGAACACCAGACCTCCAGGTTAACGAGCCAACGTTTTACTCGCTGAGCCACCGTGGCTCCGAGTTCTCTTAACAATGACACTGTTTCATTAGAACATGGTTTGGTGGCCGAGTGTTATAATGCAAGTACTGTCATATATGTACAAGTGGTCAGACCGATCCCAAGGTTGTTTGCAACAAACTGACAATCTTGTGGGCTTTTTTGTTCTTGTTGCTTTCCACTGCTAAAAACATATGCGCTTAGGCAAATTATGTAAGTTGATCCCAAACTCAGTTCACTCAATTATGTGGAATGGATGCTGAATTAATTTAATCAAAGGTGTAAATATGGCCATGGGATATTATTATTGGTCTTTACAGAATTATAAACCATCTGTTTTGAAGGTTTTTATATGTCCACATGCAAATTGTTGTCGCCCCTATCCGTCTGTCCACATTTTGTTTGTGGATATGCTACAGGTTACAATTTTTATACGATTTTGACGAAAAATGAAGTAAAGGTTTGTATCCCAGAGATCTTGATTCCTTTCGATATTGGCATGGATTATGCCCCCTGATAAAGCATGTTTTATCTTGTGGACACTCTAGAGGTCACAATTTCATCGGATTTTGATGAAACTTGAAATAAATGTTTATTTCCCTTACGATATTTGTGCATATTTTTACCTGAACTTCCTGGATTATGGCCCCTGATTGTACGGAAAATCACATTTCTAGCTTGTGATTCCTCTAGAGGTCACAAATTATATCTGATTTTAAAAACCGTTCAAATGTAGCACCATTACAAACTAATGATGGTTGAGAATCAGACAAACACCGTCCGACAAAATCGCTACTCCTTGTACGCAAATAGTGTAAACGTATGTAATACCAAGGTTGTGGACCCTCTTAGAGGTCACAATTTTTATCCAATTTTGATGAAACTTAAAATATATGTTTATATCCCAAAGATCTTGGTTCCTTTTGATATTGTCGCATGTCAGACCATAACATCCTGGATTTATGGCCATGATTGTACGAAAAATCCCATTTGTAGCTTGTTCTGTCATCTTTTGCAAAATGTGGGCATATTATACATTATAATTACATATTTTTAATAGGGGAGAAAAACTATTGCACACATAACACCACATTCTACGGAAGCATATAGGAGTCCAACAAAATTTTGTAAATGGTCTTGAGATTCTACAATCCTGTGCTACTTTCTCGAAATCCTGTGATCACCTGGTAATTTTCTCGAGATCTCAATTTAATTTCTCAAGATACCCTAATAATTTTCATGGGATAGTTCCATCCTGATTTAACGATTTTGAGAAATCGAGCAAATGTTCTCGAGATCTTGACATCCTGTGTAAATTTTCCCGAGATCTCAAGTTAATATTGTCGAGATCTTTACGACATATGATAATGTCCCCATATCTACAGTTTTCCCAAAACCTTATGGCTATGAAAACCCTATATGTGATATATCACAAGCCTTACCTTCATTAAATGTCAAATTTTGGCGACCATTTTTGAAATCGGACAGAACCGCAACCGAAAAGGACGTCACAGAAGTGACATAATCTCAAAATCTTCTGCAGTGACAAATGTTGCCTCAGAAACAACCTGTCCCCAAATATCGTTCTGATTGTGACACCCCTACCTAAATGTTTACTAAGTTGGTACCCTGCCTCGCCAACATTCAACATTTTAAATTTGACAGTCTACTCAAGACTTTTGTTGAGTTTGCGGCCACCGCAGCTGTACAGAGAGGGCCACTGAGCATATTTATTTATGCCAAATGAATAACTTAAAAAGACCACACATATAATTTGGCTAAAATTACTCTGAACATGATTTGGTAGTAAACTTATTACATAAATCTTGATAAAAAATGCGAAAACGTTGCTTTTTCAGAATAATCTGTTGATTTGGAAAATATACGATTCATTCAACAACAAGTATCATATAGCAACAGATGTAGAATTTTCTTGTGAACATGTGAGCCATTTTCCATATCCATAGGTCAATCTGTTCAGTAGTTATGAAGGTTTCCCTGACACTCAATTTCAATGAAAGCATGGCAGCAATTTTTAAAGACTGGCGCCAAAATGTCATTTAGCTGATCTGGAAATCCATCAACGAAATTTGAACACTTCAGGCACCAGGCTGAATTTATTCATCAAAATGGTAATGATACGATCCAAGGTCTGTCACATGGATTAATGATAGTGTTTCCACGTTGTGAAGCAACCACTGGCCCAATACTTCGCACCAAATTTGAAAAAAAAACCACCTAAAAAAAATACTCTAACATACGTTAAAAAGGAAAACTGCTAACTAATAATTGCATAATCGATAGGGTTCAACCATTCACTAATGGTCCCAATGCTTCACACCAAATTTGAAAATCAAAACCCTACTGCATTCGCTTTGAATGTGTGAAGCTTTGAATTACAGACTTGCTTGTTAAATTATCTCAATTTAATGTGTGGGCCACGTTTTATTAAAAATGTTATTTTTGCTTAATTTAAGACGATATCTCTTTTAGAATAGAGCTAGACACAGGGTTTATTGTCTTGTGGCCCAAATGCTTCGTGGTAGATTTTAAAACAAAAATCTTGCGCTCTATCATGTTCACAAGGTTTACGGGAAAATAGGAATAACGCCATAATGAAAAGTCAGGTAGCGCTGCAAATCAATAAGGTTCATTCTCTAGTGGCAACAATCCTTCCAAAAATGTAGATTCTCTCTGTTCACAAGGATAAACCCCATGGAACGGCGAAAATAAATAGGGTTCCTCTGCTCATGACACCAATGCTTTAAAATAAATCTACACAGCATCTATGTCTATCTCAACCTTGGATGTTTAATAAATTGAATAAGGAACTAGTATCCTTCAAGAAATCTAATCTACATCATGTTCAGGTGCTTGTTATATCTCCGTGATAGAAAACCTTACATTACTGAAAATCAGCAGAAGTCATCCTTGTTGCGGAACACTGAATATCGAAAATCCATTAAAAACGTAAGTCTCTATCACTTTAACAAGAATTTCAAAGAATGGAGAGTAACTCCGGAACGAAAGATCGCTAAGTGCTAAATATCAATCGAGTTCATGATCTTCACAGAAAATTTACAAAGTAAAGCCTCTGGGATGTTAACAAGTTTTTCGGGGAGAGGGGGTATATTAAGGAACAGAATTCTGAATATCGATAAGGCTCATCTTCTCACCGTCCTATATTGGACAAAAAACTACTGACAAAGGGTGTGACTCTGGAACAGAAGCTTGTGCAATGCTGAAAATCGAAAGACCCCAGTTAAAAACTATAGCCTCTGTTGCGTTAACAAGGTTTTTGGAAAGCAGGGTAATTAACACCAGAACTACGAGGTGTGCCGAAAATCGATAGGAATCGTTCTCTTATTACCCCAATGCGTCACACCAAATTTTTAAAAAAATACAGCAAAAACTCTAGGCTCTCTAGTGCTGTTAAGGTTTTCGGGGAAAGGGGTGGGGGTTGGATCAGGGTAAACTCTGAAATGACAGGCCGTGGAGCACTGAGAATTAGATCTCGAGAATTTTTTATAAAGAGGATGGCAAGCTCGAGATTGTTAACATAGGATGGAAGATTCTCGAGAAAATTATTAGGATTTCGAGAACATTAAATTGAGATCTCGAAAAGTATCACAGGATAACAGGATCTCGAGGCCCTCGAGAAAATGATCTTGAGGCCTTCTACAAAATTTTGCACGACCCCTATACGCTTCCGTAACATTCTGTTGATGACACTATTTTTCTACAGATTACATCTTGCCAGCAAGAAGATATGTTTCTCAGCACTCTGATATTTTTATCTTTTCTGTCTTTTAAAAAATTGACTTTTTTTTATTATTTGTGTAACTTTTATTTTGACACTTAGGTAGTAAAACCACAAACTTTTATTGACATTATACCGGTTGTCAATAACTTGCCAGCTTAAATGACACACAAGAAGAAAAATAGAAGGTAAGGATTACAGATTTGCTTTAGCACAGAGGTAGAACGGTATTTTAATATTGCAGCTCAGTAGGAATGAATAGGAACTGGTTCCTTAGTAAGTAAAGGAATTAAGTAAAGGAACTACCCCAATAAATGAATATTTATTTGGTGGAGTCCAACGGTTTGTAAGATATTGACAAGTCAACTAGAGAAGTGAAAAAAGCTATAGGCCATCCTCCACCAAACACTGTATTTTATTATCCGGCCAGAGGATCTAACCGCAGATGGTCTCATTGCTACAATTTCGTTTCCTTTTTTTTAAACAAGAAAAAACAGTCACCATTTTGCTATTACCAATTTACTTCCGGTTGTCCACAGATGTAAACAAATCAAATTGTGTTTGGACGTGAAGAGATTACGGATTAGTAGATTGTTGACATAATGGACCCCTTAGAAGAATATTGTCTTAGAAATGTTTTTATAAGGTGACCGGGTGTTTGATTTTCATTGTAGAAGATAACGGTAAGCATTAATTCTTTACGTTGCGCCAACAACAAGTAGAAAATAAGTAATGCATACTCGACTCGAGTAGCTCTACTTTTTTTGTTTCATTTTTGTGAAGTAAAGATTCACACTCTACTAGTCACTGACAGTCGCAGTCACTTGTGGCTGATGGTAACAGAAAGTGACAGTTCGGTGTAGAGATTCGAGATCTAAAATCAACATATTTATAATTTCATTCATGTAGATAGAAGGCCTAATTGAGAGAGTTGAAAGGTATTCATTCATTCTACTAGATAGTCCCAGGTTAGAAATCAGGATCGGAATAAGTCTTCATTTTATTTGATAATTGATTTAGTTTATAAGGTTGTAATTGATAATTGTATTGGAATCAACAGGCATAAAAAATATCAAGTTGTTATAAATATAAAAATTGAGCTGCTAGTGATAAAAATTTATTGTTTATCAAATCACGTAAATACCGAATACATGTATTTTTACGTTATTTCATATTTGATTTGATAAACAATAAATTATTATCACCAGCAGCTCAATTTTTATATTTATAACAACTTGATATTTTTTATGCCTGTTGATTCCAATACAATTATCAATTATAACCTTATAAACTAAATCAATTTTATGTGATTAGCTATGAGAATTTGCTACAGTAAAAGCATTGGTCTATCGGATATATTTGTTTTTTTGCGCTGTGAAACTTTTTCCCCCCTTTGAAGTATGTGACTTCTTGGAGATTAAATTTTGAAACACAATGATAGTTAATACTACAATTTTGACTATTGTTGCAAATAATGTCAAATAGCAAATATTTTGATCATGGGAAACTTTGACATCATTTCAAGTAGGTTTTCTTGTAAAATTTGGTCTTGTTAGGAAAATTAACAAATACCGGTAGGTGTAATAGTCACATAGTTACAGTCTGATTGATTCACATTGACGATACCATACCAGGTTTGTAATAGTGTTATATCACCACCCTGACGATGAAACAGAAACAAGGTACATATGTAGTGTTATCATTTCCTAGATGTGATATGGGTAATTTATTACAGTATTACATTCCCCAGCTTAATCATCAACTTCCTCTGGACCTCAACATATCTATACTGTAAGGGAATGTATTAATTGGAAGAGTTTACAAAGTTTAAATGGCAAATAGCCAATGAATCTGGACAAAGCGTATAATAGTGTGTAACAAGCATTGATTTTCATTAGTCTACATAAACAGGAGAAGCTGGCAGGCATATGGCTATTTGTATCATTCAGAAGGCGACTGTCTATATGGTTAGTTTTACAGGACACTTAATACTGGTGGAAAATTTTTAATTGTACATTGTTATACATGTATGTATATCTGTAGTGATGTCTATGAATATGATGCTATATATTAACATTAGGGACCTGGTATCATTCAGATTTGACGAAAAAAAGAAAGAAACTGAACTTACCATCTGGAATCTAATACTTGTATCCAGTTAATAGATTGCCATCAGAAAGTGTAATGCCGTCAAGATTTCATAAAGAAACGGCCAGTTTGTGCTACCGTGTAGTTTAAAAAACACTGTTTAGTTTTGACATAGGTCGTCTAGTTTATGAAACTAAATGGCCATAAACTAGATGACCAATATCAAAACTAAACTAAATGATCATAAACTAGATGACCAATGTCAAAACTAAACAGTATTTCTTAAACTGGGCGTTTTTTGATGAATCTTGATGGCATTTAACACTTTCTGGACGACAATCTATTAACCGGATACGTGTATTAGATTCTAGATGGTAAGCTCAGTTTCTTTCCTTTGTTCATCAAATCTGAATGATACCCGGTGCCTAGTGATAAGATTTCATGGCTGTTTCCATTTTCATTTATAAAGGGCCAGGAAGTCCAGGAATTATATTACTGGTGTATTTAGATTGTTTAGTTTAAACTTTGTTACTATTTCTAACCCTGGACTATCTTTTTAAATTATGGATGTTTTTATCTTTTAGAACAGTAAGCTGGTATCAGGATTTTATTTTAAGATTAATTTCTCCAGGTGTAAAATCAGTGATAAAATGGAATTTGATTCAGTTCAACAATGGTTGTTTGATTTAGAAGACAGAACAGAAACAGAATGTATGAGTGTTCTACAAGGAAAGCCTTTACATACTGATGGAAGAAACAATTTTAAAACAACACAGTCTATTAACTGGAAAGGTAAGATTGTATATTTATTTTGTGATCTATATTTGGTACAGTTCCTTATTGGTAATTGTTGAGTGAGTTTATTTAGTTTTAAACCAGATTTTCTTCTCAGTCTTTTTAAAGGTCAAACACTGTTGTTGCTTGTTGTTTTTAAATTTAAAAAAATTGTACCTGTACAAGAAATAATGTCATCTTGTTTATTGCAAATGTCAGCGGGTCAGTTTATTCAATATGTTAGCTTTACATGTTTTAAGCGGATTTTCAGTAAACTTGTCACACTGTTCTAGAGACACAGTCTGAATTTATAAAATAAGAGTAGCCCCAGACAATATTTACATTTTCTTAATTCATCATAATGATAAAATGAATGTTTAATGGAAGAGAATTTGTGTGATTACAGATAATTTTAAATCTGTTAATTTGAAATTAAATCCATGGATAAAACATTATTTATTTGTAATAGTATTTTGGATTAGTCTGCTATGTACTGATAAAGATACACTACTGATGTAATGTTAAACTATAAAGTCATTACTTAGATTTATTGAAGCCAATAATTCAATTAAATGCTTACTCTTAAGTTAATGGGATTAATGGATAGTTTTAAATTTGTTAATTTATAAACCAAATCCCTGTACTAAATAGATAAAGCATTATTTCTAGATGGTGATTTATTTGTAATATGATATAGATTAACCAGTGATGTAAGATTACAATATAAAGTCATTAACTACTAAAGTTAATCAATTCATTGCTTACTCATATGTTAATGGGATTAATGGATTATCGATGAATTATCTCAGAATTAACAGTTATTTTAAGGCTGCTATTTATTGACATGAACCTCTCTTTCTAACATACTACATGTACGTAAGACAAAGGATTATTTATATGAAATGGCTACTTATTATTGGCAGAGGAATTTTGATTTTTTGCTGTAGTTATTATTTATAAATTCAGCTCCCATTTATCAAATTAATGAAAAGAAATTTAAACAAAATATAATCAGCCATTTGCAGCACAATGAAATGTAATGTACTTATCTCATCTTCTGATTTTAGAATAAAAATCACTTTTAAAAATTTAACCTGTCACAATTTCAAAGATCCAATATCTTATTACCTTTTATTTGTCTGCAAGTTGAAATTCTAGACAATGAAATTTAAGTAAACTTATCCTTATTTTAGTGTAAAATTTTATGAATAAGTTTCCTATGTTCATTAAAATTGTTGAAATAAATTTTAAGATCTTATTTCATTCTGATTGTACCCATATTACACATTCAATTAATTCAAATTCTTTCAAAATAGTCAAAATACGAAATCATGAATATTTTATGAATTATAGAATTCATCTAATTGTTAAACATTTACGTGTACATGATAATAATTTAGGTCAAAGACAAATATTATTTGTTTATTTGTAGGAGGAATAGATGATATATCAAAGCAAGCTGTTTCAATAACACAACAATTTGATTTATTATTCAAGTAAGTTTCTTTTAAATTCAAACTTAGTGCTATTTTAGTGTCCTTTATAATTTATAAAATGTAACTGAAAAAGTTAAAAAATGCACCAAAATACAAACAGTGTGTCCGATGACTATACCATATTATAATTTTAATTTCCAACTTTGAAATAAAATGAGTGTCCTACTTTTCTGCAACAACCGGGCTATGGAAGACATGTATATGCCATGCAGTGTGCCATGATGGACATTTTGCCATCTCTTCATCGAATTCCATCAGCCAAGGGCTCATTTACATGAATGCCAATGTTAATATGGTTGGACCCCTTTTTTTGTAACAATCTGAGGGACTAGATTTTTTTTTCCTTGGCAGACCCTCCATCCTACACAGCTGACAAACGGAAAGCAGTTTGGAAATTCCTAATGAACCTACTCACCCAATACTGGGATCAAACCTGGAACGTCCTGGTTATTGCGCCCGTGTCATACCCACTGAGCCACTGTGGCTCCTTCTCCATGTAAGGTTTTTATTCAATAGTCTTTCAAAGTCTTGGTATAGTTTCTTTCAGACATCATTTTCTTTGAATAATGATAAGTCAGTTTTTCCATAACCCCTTTTCTAATAACCAACCTACATAATTTTGTGACTATTTTAAGGTGTTCAGATGATGAAAGATGGGAGGAGCTTCATCAGTTATCAGGTCATGTGACTTGTCAAATAAGAACATTGATTCAATCTTCTCATCAAGCTATTCCACAATCAACACTTTCTATTCTTCAGGTATATATTATATTTATATGTATTAGAAAATATAAAATCTGATAGAGATAATGTTAGGATACTGAATAACTACAAATCATGAGGTGTCCTGGCTTTTATAAGAATATTTGACCCTTTTAGTGTCTATTTTAAGGTACTGTGATGACATCTTGCTAGATCACGGTAATTTCCATATTGGTTTTTGCCGTCACTACTTAATAGTGTAGTCATTCTTTGACACTTGGTTAAAGCCAGGGAATCTTGGCTCTACCTTTTTAGGAGACTGTTTATGAAAGTAACTGGTGCATGATTTGCATTTTTTGGGAAAATATTAAATTTCTCACTGTTTAATCCATGCTAGTACTCAGCAGATTGATTATTTAACGGTTAATTGAGGAAACAAGATCAAAATAACAATGCTAGATATTTTCCCGTCTCAGATAACATAAAGATGGCGTTGGGTTTGTTTACATAGGAAACAGCATAGATCGATAGAATTTCAGTTCATTTTTGACCCATGATTACAGAATCAACTTTTACAATATTATAGTTTTCAAGGGATTTCTTATATCACTCAAATCATTTAAGAAACATATTCAACTTACTTTGAACATTGATTTTTTATTGTAGCAGCAAGAACAAGTGATAGGAGAATGTGCTAAACTAGCGCAAAAAGTTGAAAGGTCAGTATATTAGGGAGTATTGTTGCATTAACTTAAGGTCAGTCCGGTTTTAACCTGGAAACAGTTGTTTGAATTTGGCACAGAGAAATATTGGAAGAAGTTAAGCAATGCTATTTCCTGCCGATAAGGTTTTAACTCAACAAACATTGGTCTTTCTCAATCTGCCAAATACCATCCAAATAGTTTGTTTTGGCTGCACATTATTTTGACTGTTCAAACTCGTGGAATTATAATTCTTTGTTATCTGTTTGAGATTTATATTATTTATAATAAGATTTTTAGTTTCAATTATTAAATATATTTACAAAAGATCTAGCAACTTTGTTAGAATTCCCATCATGTAAAAGTTATACATGTAAATATTTGTTATGTAAATGTACAGGTGTATGAAATTTTAAACCAGATTAAAATAACTAGCTTCGACTTTTAAAGATACAATAAAAGGGAGAGAGAGAGAAATGGGGTTAAACATGCACTCGACACAAACTAGGTCATTTCAGGACTAATGTATGGTTCAATTTTATTTCAATAATTAGCTTGCGCATCGGGGTCTTTAGCAGTGGGAGGAAACTGGAGGATCCGGTGGAAAAGCAACAAGGTTGGACAGGTGACCCTACTCCTTGTCACATACAATCAGAGAATCGAAACCATGTCACTTGACTCAATGAAAGACCTTCTGATCTAATGTGCATGCTTTTAACCATTCATTCCCCCCCCCCCCCCCCCACACACACACACCCAGATACAACAAACTGCTTGGGTTGTAAATATTTTAAATATCAAATATGGATATTCGTTTTTTTAAAGCCCTAATCTAATATTCCAGACTATTCCATCAATCCTGACATAAGTTATGACCATTGCCTTTTATATTTCATGCCTCCATTTTAATTATCTTATAATTGTCTGTCAAATACATTGTTTAAATGTTTGTTTATTTAATTAGTTTTATCGATTTCTTTGCAGTTTTAATTCTAGATTATGTAAGATGCCTTTAATAAATCAGATGACATGCTTAGAACAGTCTTTTACACATCTTATACACCTCATTATCACTCATTTAATAAAGGTAATTATACATTAAACAAGTTGATAATACCAAGCCATTTATAAATCATAACAGGTGAAGTTAAACTTTGATAGAAAATGGTTCAAATATTCCACTGCATTTGGCATTTTCATGTGCAAGGAAGAGAATGGCAGCAAATGGTTGATGGTACAGAGTACAGACACAAAGTCATTTCAATCTTCCGTTCGACAGGAAGTAAAGAGCAAACTGTATCTCTTGAAAGCCAATATTTGATTGGTTGATTGTAAACAGCTTATTGTGTACTAGCCAATCCAAAGTCTTGTATGAAATGCTATGCTGCATGAAAGCACATAGATTGATGAAGTAGTAGTAAACAAAATACATGTACAACAAAGATATAAATAGAATAATTTTATCGGTTATCTAAATACAAACTAATCATTCTGATACCATGAACGTTTCTGCATGTAAATTGTGCAGCGTTGTCAATATTTATGTTTATTTTGCCACAATTGCGTGAAAACACAGATTTTTGCGTGACTGTGATCGACCTCTGCCAATATTTAGTATTATTTATTTATATTAAAAGGTAACAGTGTTTAAAATTATCTGTTTATGTTGACATATACCAGTATTTTATGTTATCTGTTTATGTTGACATATACCAGTATTTTATATTATCTGTTTATGTTGACATATACCAGTATTTTATATTATCTGTTTATGTTGACATATACCAGTATTTTATGTTATCTGTTTATGTTGACATACACCAGTATTTAGTATTAACTGCTTATATTTACAAATACCGGTATTTAATATTAACTGCTTATATTTACATATACCGGTATCCAGTATTTAATAAACTGATTATATTTACATAAATTTATAATTATCAGTTTATGTTTATATAGGCCAGTATTTCGTATTATTGACGTTAAACCACATTTTATTTCATTTCGTATTATCTGTTTATTGAAAATTGTTTGTTATTTTCAGTTAATGGTAAAAGATCTACAAGTAGAAAGAAATAGTGCAATAAATTTACAGAATTCTATGAGTAGTATTATTAGTTTATCATTGGAAGGCGAAAACTGGTGTCAGTTAATATCTCATGTAAGTCTATATATTTATTATTATTGTTTGAAAAATTCTCATCAATTATTAAATTACTTTTGAATGGAAATGTCTACATTATTTCATATTCTAGATAGAAGTAGTTTTGTAATATTTGCTTCAAGTATATCAAGTTTTAGAAAAAAATCTTGGTTTTTCATCCAAATGCTTCCCTGTATTCTTTATCTTGTTAACCCTGTATACATTAATCCCAACTTACCAACCAATTATATATAATTATTACATATTTATGTTACAGGCCGGTGGTGTAAAGTCATTACTCAATGTATGTGTATGTGAATCTGTCAAGTTTGCTCATGTCCAATCGTTACGAGCACTATCATCAATTTGTTGTTTACCAGAAATTATAGCTGAATTAGAAAAGGTAAGGTTAAACAATATCCTTATTTAAAATAACTTAACTCAAACTATTCATGATTAAATATATTTGTTTATGTATATTTTATATTGTATATTTACACGTAGGTGGTTTATGTATATTATATATTGTACATGTATATTTACAGGAAGGTGGTTTATGTGTATTATATATTGTATATTTACAGGAAGGTGGTTTATGTATATTATATATTGTATATTTACAGGAAGGTGGTTTATGTATATTACATATTGTTTATTTACAGGAAGTTGGTTTATATATATTATATATTGTATATTTACAGGAAGGTGGTTTATGTGTATTATTAGATATATTATGTGATGATTTACAACCAGAATGTGTGAAAGGTGAAGCAGCAGGAGTATTGGCTCAGATTACCTCCCCTGCTATAGAACATAATCATTTTATAGGTGGATTAATGGATAATCTACAAGATTTAGTTAATTCCCTGATGGGTGAGTAGGCTATACATGTTTTAATATTAATCTTATAAATAAGTCATTGTATAAGATATTTTTGTATGTATAATGTAAACAACTCTTTTTGTTTACATACATGCTCTTCAGTAATTGTGAATTTTCAAATGTTTTATCCTTGTCAGTAGTTAGGGAGCCGCAGTATTTGGCTTGTTAACCTGGTTGTCCCTGGTTCATTCCCGGTGTTGGCCGAGAAAGTTCATCAGAACTTTCTGGTATGGTTTTCCATGTCGATGGTGCAGGACGGAAGACATGGCAAAGAGCAGTGTCTAGTCGTTTGGATGGGATACAAAATGAGGTCCCCTATACTCAAAGGACCCTTGACAGTTTGAATTAGAAATAAGAGTAGGCTATAGTGTTGCTAACGGGGCAAGATTTACTTCATAGCACACTGTCTTCATTGTCCAAGATGGAGCAGAAAAATAGGATGTTAAACCCCATTTCGTTTCATTAGTAAATTCTGAGCATGATAATATGAATTTCACTGATTTAGATCACTCTATAGATTTTTGAATATCTATTTATTTTCAGTTGTTGCCTACAATCTAAATTTTAGGCTTGTAATATGAATATTTCAGGATTATGTTGTCAAACAGAAAGTCAAGAAATATTTCTGTTATCAACTGCTGCTGTGGCTAATTTAACCTTTATAGATTCTATGGCTTGTGAATATTTAGCTGGTATATGTGCTCCTGATATATTAGTATCATCTACCTCAACGTATAAATCACAATCATTATTCTCTAAAGATCAGGTCAGTTATTGTTTATCTTATTTTATATATAAAACATTCATTTTTTAACAAAGGATTTCTTGTCAACTAATGTACCACTATAAACTACCTATCTCAACACTGTAAACTACACATCAACTCATTTACCACTGTAAACTACACATCAACTCATTTACCACTGTAAACTACACATCAACTCATTTACCACTGTAAACTACACATTAACTCATTTTCCACTGTAAATTACATTAACTCATTTTCCACTGTAAATTACATTAACTCATTTTCCATTGTAAACTACACACTGGATTAATGTGATCAAATTAAAAAAAACGATACCATAATTCTATATAAAGGAAATTTATGTTTGACTACTGACATGCATAAATCCAGTGGGTAGGGAGCTTTGATTATTGCAGAGATTCTCAGAAAAAATGGCAATGTCACTGTCAGTCTTAAAATAACGTGTAATATTTAGATGAAATATTCATCAACATTTTATTTCTATTTCTGAAGATCAAAGGGAAATAACTTCTGTAATACAGACGTCCAACCATGCTAAAGTATAATCTGTTAAAATGTTAAGAATCATTTCAGTTTCCAAGTGTTCCATATTCCAATCTTTTAAGGAAACACTGATAGTGGAGCACAGAGTTAATGTATATTTATTTATTTACAGATAGCAACTATATTAGCTAATATGGCTGCATGTGATGATTTTCATCTTTCTATTACACGACCTGGTGGAATAAATCTTCTTATAGATTTCTTACATATATCACCATCTTTATACGACACAGAGACAGAAATAGCCGCCTGTGAACGTGTTTTACAGAAGGCAGCTATAGCGTTAACCAGATTATGTCGTGAAGAAAAAAATGCACAAGAGATACTGAGATTAAAAGGTAAATTTTATACACTCCTTTTATCCAAGCATTTAAAATATGGAAATATATCCTTGAACTAAAAATGGCTGTGTGATTTGACACTGTATATGTGATTTACTGCTCAGGGGTCCTATTCAGAAAACTTGGAAGAGAAATAATTTAAGAATGCTGATGATGCATTGGCTGAACACTAATACCATTGTGCAGATTTCAGCTCTTGACCAATGGGAAATCTAAATTCTTAAAATAGTTATGTTAATAGTTTAATATATAGTTGAATGTTGTTATTTCTATTACAGGTGTACCTAGATTAGTTGAATTATGTCGTAATGCTGAGGAACGTTGTCATAGTGATGCTGTTTTAGTGGCCAGTCTGGTATGTATTTGTACTCATCTCGCTTTAATATGCAGGATTGTTTCAAGCCCTGTTGTCACTTGTCAGAGACTGACCAGGAAAGTGTGTCTTGGTGTTCGTATTAGACGAAACACTCATCTCCAAAGGTAGACAGAAAGGCGACTGTCCTGGCAAAATTCTGACTTTTACATCGCAAACATACCTATTAAAATGAAAAATGCCATAAGTTAGTCTCAAATTATTGTTTCCCCCATTCAATTCCAGTCCTCTTTTGTATTAAAACATTGTTGTTTATTTGATATTGTTTATTCAATTATTGTAGGCTGCTTTACGTAAAGTATGTATGACATGTGGGAACGATAGTATGGCTACATTAGATGTTAAACAATTAATAACACCCAAATTGATGGACTCATTCGTAATGTGTTCACATAGTGATGAAAACTTTGTGTGATGTGCTTTCATAGTGATGGAAATATTTTTGGGGTTTAATGTCCTCAGATTGTGAGAGCTGTGTGATGTGATTAAAATTTGACAAAAACTTGTGATGTTCTCAGATAGTGATGAAAAACTTTGTGATGTGCTAAGTGTCCTGGGTGGGATGCAATGTTTTTGTAGTGATGAAAACTTTTAGTGTGCTCTGACTAATTAAACCAACAGGAAGAAATGAATGTTCTGATTATCAGGCACTCCGAGTTACCAGAGAATAGTAGCTGTTGTTATTACAGTTGAACCAGAAATATATTAAATTGTACTATGATAATCTGTAATCTACTGTAGTATATTAATTGATGCCTTCCGTGTGATAAACGTCTATTGTCCATGTTTTTTTTTTTACGAACATAAAATATATGCTCAAGTGCTATTTATTAAGCTCAAAGTATACACAATGTAATAATGTTTAAAGCTTTATTTTATATAGTTTTGTATTTTATTGTATATTATACAACTGACATATTTTATTTTAATGCTTGAATTTATTCCAATCTTCTGTGAAAATTTTTCTCACAACATTTAAACGTTGGAATATTTTAATCTGTAAATACACAGGATCCTTTATGTACACTGCTGATTGTATTTTGGAAAAGTGTGAAATAATTCGATTGGTTCTGCTTGACTCACACCTAGATTTGAACCTAATACTGACTTGTGTGATTTGAGTCTATTAACTGCTTTTTGAATTGATGAAACACTAAGTATGTTTTCTTTAAGCTGTCTTGAATTATATGTCAATGATCAGCTGTTATAACTTATATATACAGGCACTTGCAAAATGGAAAATCTCTTTCAAAGGTCCATTACCATATTCTTATAAGGGAGATAATTAAATTCAGGGGTAAATAACTTGTCTGAATCTTTATACTTGGTCAGTATGTAAATAGTATTTAAAAGAGATTTTCCATTTCAAAAGGCATGATATTTTTATACTTGAGATTTTAATTGCTGCAATATTTATTCAGGGCATATAAACTGATATTGTTTACAAGAGATTGATCTTGATATGATATTTATTTTTAGATTTTATTTATTATTTATTGTATTTATTTGTTGTGTATTATTGTATGTTGTATAAATAAATTATTTATTATATAAAGTTATATTTCATTGTATTATAATAATATTATATTTCTCAACAAAGTCGTGGTTGGTGAAAGGAAAATTTTTAATAAGAGTGCAAGAAAGTTATGTGTTGTCCCACACCAGGGGACTATTAAAATGGGTTTGTATGTCACACTTTTGGAACAAAATTATTCTGCTTCTAACTGAGCCAGAATGTTCAAACATGGTATACATATTTATTAGGCGATTTTCTGCTTAGGCTAAGCAGAGATCAGCTATTTGATTTGTCGATGCTTTGGGACACATTAACTTCAATTCTAATTGAGGTATAATGTTCAAGCTTGGTGTAGATGTTCATTAGGTGAATGTCTTGTTGACCGAGTTCGATGGTTAGCATTTTCTTCTTAAGCTACGCAACTTTAAGCAATTTGATTGTTGATGCCTTGGAACACAATAACTCTGATTCTAATACATTATTACATACATATCTAAGTTTGATAGTGAGCATTTTCGGCTTCCTTGATGCTCTTTACAAGAGATAAGTGCAAGTTTTAATAAGGAGCACCTTTTTACACGCCCACATTATGTCATCGGCCCTGTCCGTCCGGACGTCCACAATTTCTTTGTGGACACTCTACAGGTCAAACGAAGCTTGAAATATAGGTTTATCTTCAAAAGATCTCGGTTCCTTTCGATATTGGCATGTATCGGATCGAAACTTCATGGATTATGGCCCCTGATTGTATGGCAAATCACTTTTTAGCTTTATGAACCTCTATAGGTCAAAATTTGTATCTGATTTAAAAAAAAAGTTTAAATATATCACCGTAAACACCCGAATGATGGTTAAGTTCGAAAATGGCTGCTAGTTGTATGGAAGTAGTGTAAAATTATGTAATACCAAGGTTGTGGACTCTTTGGAGGTCATATTTTTTTATCTGATCTTGATGAAACTTAAAATATATAGAGGATATTTGTTGTTTTAGAGTGAATAAGCAAGAAAACGTTTATATTTTCACTCATGCTACGCATTCGTGAAAATATAAGTTTTCTTGCTTCTCGATGAAATAAAATATGTTATTCACGACAAAACGACAAATGTTCTATTTATTTTATGATTTTACAATCATTTTAGGTAAAAACAACTAGCCAGTGGAATAACACTTTTATTTCACTGATAAAACGCGGTATTCCACTACTCATCATAAAATAAATGTTTATATCCAAAATATCTCGATCCTTTCTATTCGATATTCATGCATATCGGATCCTAATTTCCTAGCCCCTATCAGGTTCACCAGTTTCTCGGAAAGGGCAGCATAAGAAGAATATCGATAGGGCCTTTCCTCTTATGACTACAATGCTTCACACCAAATTTGAAAACAATCCCTTAATAACTGTAGCCTCTATCGAGTTCACTTGTGACGGACGGACTGACGGACATGGTGAAGATATATAATACCTCAAACTGAATGTTGGGGTATAAAAATGTAGTTAATGAGCCTGTATAAGAAAGTGTTAGGAAGCTGCCATTATGAATCACTATAAAATGTGATGATGGCACCAGTCAAAACAAAGAAATTGGAACTATATCTAATTTACCGAATAAAGATCACAGACAATCCTACTGACTGAGTACAAAAAAGTTAAAATAATATTATTACTGCTGAGAACAATTGTAAAGTCAATAGATTTGTCTTAGTTGGTATTTTCCGTTTCTTTGATTTAGTTTGGGAGAAATGCTATCTTTGCCATTTCTCCTTTAATATCAATTCCAAACCAATCATGACGGAATAAGAATAGCATTAACTATTACTAGTTTTAGATTAACTGTACACAGTTGTAATGGATCTATAAAGATGAGCGGGCGAGGCGCTAAATTTTTATTAAAATTACCATTGTTCCCTTCGATTGAAAACACATTGAGAACGCTTCTCTCTCAATTAGTTGGGGCTACTAGACCAAACCCTACGTAATAATAACGCCTTACACGTGTAATATATTGCAACACACTCCCGATAATTAACAGATCACCCTTTCAAAAAAGGGGTTTGCATCATAAGACAAAGTCGCTTAGATATAAACGACTACAAATGTAATAAAAACGCACGCGTCTCGTTATACATTCACTATCGACATTGTCATGGGAATCTGGTGGCCGGGGGGGGGGGGGCAATTTTCACATTAACAATTAAAAAATAAATAGGATTTACTTTTTGTAATATATTCTATATTCTCAATTAATTGTTCAATAACCACCCGAGCATTTGTAGATGTCACGAAGATTGTTTTGATGCTGCATATTCACCATAAGCGCCGTTTGTCAAGAAATTATTTTCATAATTATAAACCAGCGTTGCCAGGCAAGATACGCACGCAAGAGATGGACAGAGAACAAGCTAGGAAAAAAGTGATTTTTGTACAATCAGGGGCCATAATCAGGGAAGTTTTGGTCCGATATGCACGAACATCGAAAAAGGAACCGAGATCTTTTGGATATAAACATTTATTTTAAGTTTCACCAAGATCGGATAAAAATGTGACTTCTAGAGGGTCCACAACCTTGGTATTACATACTTTTAACTCTTTGCGTACAAGTAGCAGCCATTTTGTCAAGCAGTTTCGGTCCGATTTTCACGAGATTCGAACTAAACCATCGTTACTGTGTAACGGTGATATATTTAAACTTACATTATGCAAGAACGAAATCTGCAGGTCTTTCTTTAGGCCTGAAATGTTAGACATTAATTAACTTATCCAGACCACATTCAACTCTCGATGTCACCGCTAACCTGCGATATTTACTGGACTAGATTCCGATCTGCTGCCCAACGCTCATTGATGATTAAACCAAAAACTGAATAATCGAGACTATGATTTTTATCGTACCGACTTTAGTAATGATGATCGAGGCTAGGCATAAAATTTAATCAATTTTCATGTGGACGTAGATTGTCGTCGCCCCTGCCCGTCCGCCCGGACGTCCGTCCTTCCGTCCACAATTTATGGACACTCTACAGGTCACAATTTTTATTCGATTTTGAGGAAACTTAAAATATAGATCTATCTCCCAAAGATCTCGGTTCCTTTCGATATTGGCATATATCGGACAATAACATCATGGATTATGGCCTCTGATTGTACGAAATATCACGTTTTTAGCTTGTAGACACTCTAGAGGTCACAATTTTCATCTGATTTTGGTGAAACTCGAAATGCATGTTTATAACCCACAGATCTTGGTTCCTTTCGATATTTGCGCATATCGGATCGTAACTCCCTGAATTATGACCCCCGATTGTACGAAAAATTGCGTTTTTAGATTGTGGTCCCTCTAGAGGTCACAATTATTATCCAATTTAAAAAAAACACCGTTTGAATATATCACCGTTACACTGTGATAACGCTTGAGTTTGAATTTCGGGAAAATCGGACCAGAACTACCGGACAAAATGGCCGCACCTCGTACTCAAATAGTGTAATATGGTATATCAAGGTTGTTGACCCTCTAGCTAGAGACCACAATTTTGATCCAATTTTGCTGAAACTTGAAACAGGTTTATAACCCAAAGATCTTGGTTCCTTTTGATATTCGCGCATATCAGATCTTAACTTCCTGAGTTCTGGCCCTTGATTGTACGAAAAATCACGTTTTTAACTTGTGGTCCCTCTAGAGATCACAATTTTTATCCGATCGAAAAAAAAACAACGTTTGAATATTTCACTGTTACACCTTAATGACGGCTAAGCTCGAATTTCGTGAGAATCGAACCAAAACTGTCGGACAAAATAGCCGCTTCTCGTACGCAAATAACGTAAATGTATGGTATATCGAGGTTGTGGACCCTCTAGAGGTCACAATTTTGATCCGATTTTGATGAAACTTGTACGAACAATAGCTTTTTGTTTAGCTTGTTCTCTATCTATCTCTTGCAAAATTTGGGCGTATCCTGTCTGGCATCCGCTGGTTAACTATTATAGTAAGAACTGCCAGCTATTTATCTCCCATAATGTATATTTAAACAGTTTTTTAAATCAGATAAAAATTGTGACCTCTAGTAGAGGTTTGACAAGGGGCCATAATCCAGGAAGCTACGTTTCGATATGCGCTATTATCGACAGGAACCAAGATCTTTGTGACATAAACATATATTTCAAGTTTCATCAAAATCGAATAAAAATTATGACTTCTAGAGGGTCCACAATCTTGATATTACCCATACTATTAGACTATTTGCGTACAAGGAGCGGTCATTTTGTCCGGCAGTTTCGGTTGGATTTTTACGAAATTCGAACTCAGCCTTCACTGAGGTGTAACGGTGATATATTTATGGTTTTTAAAATTGGATACAAATTGTGACTTCTAGAACATGATTTTTCGTACAATCAGGGGCATAATTCAGGAATTTACGTTCCGATATGCGTGATTATCGCAAGGAACCGAGATCTTTGTGCTATAAACATAAATTTAAAGTTTCATCAAAATCGGATCAAAATATTGTGACCTCATATCCACAACCTTAATATACCATACTTTTCCACTATTTGCGTTTGAGGAGCGGCCATTTTGTCCGGCAGTTTCGGTGTGATTTTCACGAAATGTGAACTCAATCATCATTATAGTCACGGTGATATATTTAAACGTTTTTTTTTTAAAATCGGATAGAAATTGTGGCCTCTTCTAGTGGCACCACAATCTAAAAAATGCGATTTTTCGTACAACCAGGGGCCATAATCCATGAAGTGTCCACATGCTAAAAACGTGATTTTTTTTGTACAATCAGGGACCATAATCCATGAAGTTACGGTCCGATACATGCCAATTTCGAAAGGAACCAAGATACACCTATATTTCAAGTTTCGTTGAAATCGGATAAAAGTTGTGACTTGTAGAGTGTTCAAAAACAAAATGTGAACTGAGGGACGGACTCACAGACGACGACATGGAAATGTGGGCGTATAAAAAATAAAGAAGCTGCTACC